GGGAATCGCCATTTGCGCGAAGTGACGCGCAGCTCTCTCTGTCAATATTCACACAGAGAAACACACCAATACCTCAAGTACAGATGAATCTCAAAAATGAAATACTGTGCCTCACTATGCCGATTTTTCAATGCCTGCCTGATTACCATTGGAAACAATGCTCTGAAAATCTCCTCAAATCCAAGACATTTCCCCTTGAAACTTCCATTGCTTTAATTTTATGGAGGTGCTTTGGCTATCATTTTATTGAACACAAGGAAGAAAAATAATCAATTAGAATGTAACAATTCAGGCATTTTGAAAAGAAGTGCAAGTGAAAGAAAAATCGGGCAGATGAACCCATGCCTCCAAATTCAGCTCATTTAAGTAGCAATTTCACCAACAGAGTATCTTGGGCTATAATTTTCAATAACTCTTCTGTCCTTTCCCACAAGTCATAAAGCACATGACTTCTATGATGAGAATTTAAGAACCTGGGATAATTTGACACAGTGATAATCCCAGAGAAGAAAAAAAATTGAGAACACAGACTGAGATATTTCAGAACACTTTGAGACAGGGACATCTTCAGACAGTCACATCAGTTCTGTACCATTCTACAGGCTTTCTAACATTTTTGAAGATTTTATTTAGCCAGAAAAATGTGGGATGATGATGCAATGCATATCCAATGAGCACAACTACAAGAGATTCTTCATTGAGTTTTGTAAAACATCCAACTTGTCCTCGTTATCATCCTTTTCTGATTCATCCTGAAAGATTGCATTGCATATGTGATAAAATATAAATTATGCAAATCTAGACAAGAAAAGGTCATTCAGAGAATGAATTTGTTTGTTAAGTTTAGGTCTTATTTTTTGCTGTCTCCAATTTTCACTGTCTCAAAGCAGCCTATTCTTGAATGAATCTTATCTCAAATGGATCTTTTTTTGATTTGACCCTGTCTCAAAATTGACACTGTATCAGATTGACACTATCTGAAATTGGCCTCGTCTCAGATTGACCCTGTATCAATCTGTCCACATCCCAAAATGTAACACTCATTCGAAAATCTGCATCTGTAAATTCACCACCAACTTGAGGTATTTGGCATAAGTTGCTGGCAAACAAATCACTAACACGTTAACGCTCATTTCTTTCCTTTGATAGCACTCACTCCATTTTGAAAAACACACACACACCTTGATAATCAAATCAACACTTGAATCACTTCGTTTTTGAAACCTGATGAACGACTTTTTCTTTCAAGATGACGGCGTGTATCCCATGTCGGACTCGATCTTCCTCACAAGCATCTCGATACGACCACTCATGATCGGCTGGCCCTTTTTCGTCCGCCTCGAAAGAACCTTTTGCCTCAGTTTCCGCTCTTCAATTCGTTGCTTTCGCAATTTTTCCACCCGCACACGATCCCTTTGCTTCTGCTCTCGGGTCTCAACCACTTGCTGCTTTTGCGCGTTCATTTCCGCGTGAGCTTTTTGAAACGCGGTCGGTTTCCGTTTCGGCTGGGGCTGTTTTTGTTGGGCTTCTGTTGAAAGTCATGCGAGAATTAGTTCCAGTGAGGGGTTTTTCCGCCGACGAAATTTCCAGTTCTTTTCGGACGTTGATAAGGATAAATTGATTTTTAAAAATAGTAGAAAGCATGATTAAAAATAAAATAAAAACTATACACGGTGGCCCTAGAAAAACTCACCCTCGGGCTCATAACCGGATGCCCATACCGGCATTTTCTTTTTCCGAACAAAAAACTTTGGCTTCATTTCACCTCACGATTTCCTTCGCCACTTTTCTCTGGAAAGTAAAAAAAAAAGGAGAAAAATCAACTTCTTAAAAACTCGGGGCGTCGGGAAGCGAACTGCAATTCTTTTCTGTTGTCCCCCTCGCGTGTCCCAGGACACATTGAACACATTCCTGAAGTATAGATGTCGCCCTCAATTGCAATAAGCTAAATCCCCCGCAAACTAGAAAATTACACATATTGAAAATTTGTCTTTTCTTTGGAACGTGGCCAATTTTTGGATCAATTAATTAAATTAGATGGATTAAAGCCACAAGTGGAGAATTACTCAAGAATCTACCATTTGTCAAATGAAACCTTGCAACAACATACTGGAGATTTTCTCTTACAAGATTCACTGTTTTTATGACATTGGAAAAACAAATTTTTACACAGTATGGGGGAGTTATAAATTCTTCCACCTGTACTGAGGCCATATTTTCATCAGTGTAAGGCCAAAACAACTGTAGGGACAAAGAAAGATGTAATTTTGCACAGCAAAATATTTTAAATCCGCATCCCTATGAAGTTATAGTTTCACATTTCCATTTTAGGCTTTACAATTTCCAGCGATTACGAGTTTCATGAATGTTTTCGCCCAAGTGCCGCAATTAAATTTTTTAAGACATTTCCTGCCAATAACCTATGATATTAGGAAGATGCAAATTTGTAACAGAAAAAGTGAAATTCAAGAATTTTAAAATGGCCATAAAGTCACAATTTACCATTGAAAAGTGCAGCAATCGTTTTCTTAAATGCCCCATTAGGTTTGCGATTGAGGCGACACCTTCACGATCTAACAGAAACACTTCCAACGAGCACAGGACACAACACCGAGAAATAACAGAGAAGTACAGCAGCCGACGGTAACGACTTTCACAAAAATGAATATAGATAAAATAAGTAAATAACGCAACCATGTATGATACAAAACTACTTGGACCACGATTGTCAGAGGTTCTATGCATTAAAAAAAAAAATGCACTGGAATCACAGGCCCGTTACGATCGCGTATTTTCACGGAAGAACGCTGCACAATTGCGAAAAGGAATTCAGGAAGATTTCGTTTTTGTACCATTTAAAAAATAAAGTCACATCACAGTTTCAAGTTCGTACACTTCTTCGCGATTGTCCGAGTTTCGATCAATCTCTCCTACTGTTTTTCGTCGTCGGAAACACACACTGCTGGGGAATACTTGGGACAGTCCATAGACCAAGAAACACATCCAACCCGAGAGTAGCTGCACCCAGACTGAAGGCCAGTTCCGCCGGAATTCCGTCACGTCAGCTTGTTCCGGTCTACGATTGCAACAAGGAATGGAAAAAAAAACCATTGTACAGTGACACCCCAAGATGCAGACATAATTGGTGCATCAACAGTGTCACAAAGTCAAAATGTCCCTAAGTTGAGTCTCACTTTCCCTTAGACTTACATTATATAATTTTTAATTGGCTTTTTATGGAAAAAATACTCATCTTAATTCCATGAAAATAAAAATTGTCTCCCAATCAAAACTAATTCAATCAATATATTTCAACAAAATATGGACATTTGGGGAATTGAATACCAATACCTCTGTACAGTACATAGAAATGTTGGCATTCTCTGTAAAAAAAATAACATTCCAGTGAAAAAGAGAGAAGGAAGTCCCTCTATGCCGGAGGTAATTTTTCAAATTAGCTAAATGGA